CGCTGGGCGCGGCCCCCCGCGGGCAGAGTCGTTCACCTGCCGTCGGGGCCAGTCGCCCCCCCGGCCTCTCGGGGGCGCACCGCGGGGCCCGAGAGGGCGGCGACGCGGATTCGGCCCAGGGGGGGGCTCGACGAAGCCTACAAGATGCGGGCGAACGTCGCCGAAACAGAAATTGCGGCGGCCACGGGGTCAGCCTTCCTTTGCAGGTCTTTCGGGGTGGAGCGTCTTCCGTGGTCTGGGGAAGCCGCTCTGCCTACCAAGCCCCCTCATTCTGTCTCACGCGTCGTTGCCTGCAAGTGGCACAGGGGCCCCCGCGGGGACTTTCGAGGACGCCAGGGGGGTCCGAAGAGAAGGGCGCCAGCAAGACTTTGGGCGCGCTCCATGAGCCGTCGCCGCAGGTGGTCTCCGCCCTAGAGACTCAGCATGTTTTTTCTGCTCGAGAAGTTCTGGACATGCACCCAGGGCCCCCCGATGCACGAGGAGGCATCGGAAGCGCGACCCGCCCGCTTCGAGGCGCTGCACCTCGAGTCTAATGGGGCGAGCAGCATCGTCGAGGCTCAGGCTAGGAAGGAGAGCGCCAAAGTTCTTAGAGACTGGATTTTGCACTGGGCTGACAGGGAAGCCAAGAAGGTGCACATGGTGGCGAAAAGAGCCTCCAAAATGGTTCTGGTCACTCGGTCTTTCCTTCAGGCCGAGAACCACAATTTTGCTCAGCTGCGGGGTGACGGTCGGGGTCAGTCTTGGTTCGTGCACGATGAGACCCAAGATGAGGCCCCCTGCTTGAGCTTGGAAGGATTCAGAGCTCAAAGAGCGCGCCTCGGTTGCGCCAGACTTCTTATGAGGCGCTTCAATATGGGGGCAAGGCTGGGTTCACATGTTTGCTGCCACGAAAATGTCGCCCCTCTTGCCTCAGTTACGTGGCATCGCGATGATCACTTTAATTCCCAAGACGTCGGCTGGGTTTGGGCCCATCGGCACCCTCTGTTCGCTTCAAAGTGCCCACGGCGGCGCCCGCCGCCCCATGCGCCAGCGATGGGACGCCAGCGCGCGGGGGGGGGGTCGCAGCTGGGCCATTCCAAGGGGGCCCAGACGCGGTCTGGAGACATTCTCTTCGCGCCGAGGCCAGCGCGAAAGATAATGGCGAGGCGGCTACCACCCATCTGGAGCTGCACAGGCATTGCGAGACCACGTATCTAGAGAGGCTCTTGCACGGCTGCAAGGTCTTCAAGTTCCCGCTGGCGCTGGCCAAGATCAGCGCGCGCATGTATCTCCAGAGCCATCGGCTTAAATTGGCGGGGTTCGTGGGCGGCCCCTCTTGGGCTGCCGTGGGATCGTGGCAGGGTGGAGTTTTGCCGCGGCTCCGGTTCGGGCGAGCGCCACTGGGCCCCTGGGTCGCTTGGCGACGCAGGCCCAGCAGATTCACGTTAAACTGTGCGTCGACGACTCTGGATTGTCACACACACACACACATCGCTGCTGAGGGATTACATCAGATTCTCCCCCAGGGTGCGGGTGCTGTTGTGTCGTCTGGTCCTGGCAAGACATCGGTGATTGGTTCCACTAGGTCTCTGCGTAAACAGCTCGGTCAACGGCTCGAAAGCTCAGCGGGTCCTCTGGCTGCTAGCGCTGCCCACCTAGACGTGAACGCCGCCGTCGGCAAGTCGAGGCGAAGGCCTGGAAGGTCTAGCAAGGCTAAGGCTAATATCAAGAAGTGTTGTGCCAGATTGTCCAGGATCAGGGTTGCCGTCGGGGCGAGCGTGACCAGGGAAGTCTTTGCTTCTGGGGCCATGGCCAGCAACCTTCTTGGAGCCGACGTCCATGGGGTGACTGGGTCTGAGCTGCACAAGCCCCGAAGGCTGGCCGCTTTGCCCCTGCGACCCTCGGCCAAAGGTTGGTCCGCCAAGGGCCGCGTTGGCTCGACTCTGTCGCCCCCGTAGTTGGGGCAAGGAAACGTGCATCTCGCGCCAGCACTTGCACGCTCACGCGATCCCGTTTTCTGAACTTCAACGGCGACCATGACCCTTGGAAGACCATTCGTGGCCCTGTTGGTGCTTTCAAGAAACCTTGTGGACTCATTTCGTGACGCACGGGCTCGCCTGCCGTTCTGGCGGCGTGACAGACAGGTGCGACAAGATTGCGCTGACCGGGTCATCCACTCAGCTCTTCAAAAGCCCCCTGAAAAGCGCGGCCGTTAGGTTGGAGTGGAACCTGGAGGCCACAATTGGGATCGAAGGAAGAGCTTGCGAGGATGGCAGGTTGCAGTAGCTTAGAAGCTCGAAGCTCACCTCTGTCCAGAAAAGTTGTGCAAGAGCGCTCTCCCGCAACGCCATTTACACGAAGCAACGTGCGTCAGATTCAGGTTACTTGCTGGCCAACCTGTTGCGCCCTTTGCCCCTCAGTGCGCCTGACACCCTTAAAGCACCCTTTGTAGAATTGCCACGCCGTGGAGCGGAAGAGGACGGCGTTCGTCAAGCAGGAGGTAATGAGGCACGCGGGGGAAGCGGACGACGCCCTCGCTGGCTCCGCCGTTTTCCGGCACCCCCCTGAAGAGCTGCCTCGCCCATTGAAGCCCGGCGGCGTTCAGATCGAGTGGGCCCATGAGCCTCCTGAAAGGGCCGCGGTCCACAGTGTCCGAGGGCGCATAGATTTGAGGACTGGTCGTGCGCGAGGCATGCGATTCCTGAATTGAATCGTGCGGCTTGGACCTTCTCGCTCTGGCGTCGTTCTTCAGGTCTCGAGGTCCTCCGCATTAATGGGGCCTGTGTGAACTCAGCCCTCAGACTCCCAAGGCTGCTGAGTTTCACTGCTACTCTATCGCCAAAAAATGGTCGAGTGGTCTTTGTGAGATGTTCCTGGATTGTCAGAAATACGTGGATTTCCATCGGCTCCCGTGATCAGAGAAAATGTCGCCTAAGAGGACCTACGCGGGACACAAGGTTAAATCCCACAAGTTTTGAGGAGGGCGAGGATAGCTGGGACGCGTACTTGCGTGAAGGTACATTTACTGTTGATGTATCGGACAAGCCGGTGCCCGCCTCCTGCCGACGTGGAGAAGCTTAAACTTTCTCTCTCAAGGGCTGTTGCTGTCGGTCTTTCGGCAACCAAATTAATGCAGCTGCGGCCGAGATTTGATACAGGACCGAATGTTCATAGAGTTCCCGTACCTGTGCCCAGCCGTGAGAAGAAGAATGGCCCCATGCACCAGTGGTCCTAGGCGGGACAGTTTGGCAGCGTTTGCCGTGTGATCCAGGTCCTCGGCTTAGAAAAAGCCCCTTGCGAGCAGTTGCCGTGAAGGTGCTGCCGTCGGGATTCGAGGACACGAGTTTCTTGCCCTTGCGGCGCTGGGGCACAAGATGCTGTTTCTCGATGCCCTGTGACTCAAGCTTTTTGTTCGCCAGCGTTGCAAGCTTTACACTAGCGGCGGCCAGGTGAAAGGTCTTCGCTCGTCCTGTGTGGCTCTTCCGCGGGAGGGTGCCCAGGGCCACAAGCTGCGTGTAAAATTATCTCCAATGGCCCCCATCCCAAGCGCCGCGGTGTCACCGTCGACAGTGGGCCTTGTTGCGATGTTGTAGAGGAGGAATAAGAGGTGGCCCCCGTTCCGTCCTCCTTCGAGCATCCCCCCACCTCGGAGGACTGCGAAGCCCAGCTCGGCCTTTATCTAAGACCCTCAGGCTTCTTGAAGCTGCTGGCTCGCGGGCTTGTGCAAGCCGACCAGTCGGAGTCTGGATCGGATGGAAGACTTCGGACCACGCTAGCGTGCTGAGATGTTGGTCTCGGCTCGTACGTCCTGCCTGAACTGTCTTTAGCCCCTCTGTGAAATCTTCAACCTGCGAGGGGATACGGGGCTGCATGTTGCCGCTCAGGCAAAACATCTGATCCTCTTCCTCCTCCTCCGCCTCCTCCTCCGCCTCCTCCTCCTCCTCCGTTTCTCCTCCCCCTCCTCCTCCTCTTCCTCCTCCTCCTCCTCCTCCTCCGTTCCTCCTCCTCCCTCCTCCTCCTCCTCCTCCTCCTCCTCCTCCTCTCCTCCTCCTCCTCCTCCTCCTCCTCCTCCTCCTCCTCCTCCTCCTCCTCCCTCTCTCTCCGTCTTCCTCCTCCTCCTCCTCCTCCTCCTCCTCCTCCACCTCCTCCTCCCTCCTCATCTTCTCTCTCCTGCTCCTCCTCCTGCCCCTCATCCTCCTCATCATCCTCCTCCTCCTCTCCTCCCTCCTCCTCCTCCTCCTCTTCCTCCTCCTCCTCCTCCTCCTGTTCTCCCTCTTCCTCCTCCTCCTCCTCTTCTCCCTCCTCCTCCTCCTCCTCTTCCTCCTCCTCCTTTCCTCGAACAGGCTGTGGGGCCATCAGGCCCGCAGCAGCAGGGACCCCTCTGCACGGCGCAGGCGGCGCCCAGAGGGCAGCAGCCTCGAGGTCGCTGCGCAAGGACGGCGAGCGACGAGCAATCGGGAGAGCTGGGAGAGCTGGGAGAGCAGCGAACGAACGAACGAACGAACGAACAAGCTGCCATCGCCGCAGAGGGCGACCCAACGCTGGCCGGCAGGCGTGCGCGAGCCTCGCTCGATCCCCTCCCCCACCAACTCGAGCGAGCGCACCAGGGCACGAAAGCAGGGGCAAGGCGCTCGTGGACACTCCGCCCGACGGTGGACCCCGAGCACGGCGCGAGTCGGGGGCGCGCAAAGATGGCTCAGCGATCCATGGATTTGGCGCGCGGCCGCCAAATCCATGGATCGGGGGAGGTGCCCTCCTCAGAATGCGGCCGGTGCCGCCTCGTTCGGCGGCGGACACCCGCGATTTCCCGTGGAAGCGGAGCCCATCGCTAATCCACGCCCCCTTGATCCATGTTTGCGATCGCCTGAGTAAGAGAAGGCCCCGGGCGCCCGAAGTCACTCCGCGCGGCAGCTCGGGCCACGTGCGCGAGGCGGGGCGGGCGCTCGCGCAGGCGCATGAGGCAGGAAGCGGCAGGCCCCCTCCCGCCTCCTCCGGGCCTCTCTGGCGGCCGAGGCGCCGGCCATTCACGGCCACGATGTGGTCGCCTTGGAGGAGGCGCAGGGACTCCGGGCACCTGCAGCAGGGGGCCCCGCGGGAGGCAGCCTCGGGGGCGGCCAAAAGGAGGGCGTCCACGAGGAGGGGGCGCAGATCATGGCCAGCGGCACTTGCGCGGCCCAGGGGGGAGGGCCGGGGAGGCAATTGTTTATGTTATATCTGTACATATATACATATATACATATATATATATATATATACACATGTGTATATATACAGAGAAAGAGGTAGAGAACAACAACAACAACAACAACAACAACAACAACAACAACAACAACAACAACAACAACAACAACAACAACAACAACAACAACAACAACAACAACAACAAAAACAACAACAACAACAACAACAACAACAACAACAACAACAACAACAACAACAACAACAACAACAACAACAACAACAACAACAACAAAAACAACAACACAACAAAAAAGAACAAAAAAACAACAAGAAAAACAAAAACGGCAAAGCAACCTAACAGCGATGTGTATAAGCATATCTGTCAGCCTCAGCCTGCCTCAGCCTCAGCCTCAGCCTGCCTCAGCCTCAGCCTGCATCAGCCTCAGCCTCAGCCTGCCTCAGCCGCAGCTTGCCTCAGCCTCAGCCTCAGCCTCAGCCTCAAGCCTCAGCCTCAGCCTCAGCCTCAGCCTCAGCCTCAGTCAGCCTCTCAGCCTCAGCCTGCATCAGCCTCAGCCTCAGCCTCAGCCTGCCTCAGCCTCAGTCTCAGCCTGCCTCAGCCTCAGCCTGCCTCGGCCTCAGCCTGCATCAGCCTCAGCCTCAGTGTGCCTCAGCCGCAGCTTGCCTCAGCCTCAGCCACAGCCTAAGCCTCAGCCTCAGCCTGCCTCAGCTTCAGCCTCAGCCTGAGCCTGCCTCGGCTTGCCTCAACCTGAACCTCAGCCTGCCTCGGCCTCAACCTCAGCCTCAGCCTCAGCCTCAGCGTCAGCCTCTCAGCCTCAGCCTGCATCAGCCTGCATCAGTCTCAGCCTCAGCCTCAGCTTGCCTCAGCCTCAGCCTCAGCCTGCTTCGGCCTCAGCCTGCATCAGCCTCAGCCTCAGCCTGCCGCGGCCTCAGCCTGCGTCAGCCTCAGCCTCAGCCTGCCTCAGCCTCAGCCTGACTCAGCCTCAGCCTGCCTCAGCCTCTCAGCCTCAGCCTCAGCCTCGGCGTGCCTCAGCCTCAGCCTCAGCCTGCCTCGGCCTCAGCCTGCCTCGGCCTCAGCCTGCCTCCGCTCGGGCATTCAAGATATGGCACAGGGCTGGTTTTCTGGGAACACGAAGATCACGAAGTGGCCCACAGTTGGCTCCGGGCAATCAAAATATGGTACAGGAATGGTGTTCTGGGAACACGAAGAAAAGGCAGTGAACACGAAGATCACGAAGTGGCCCACAGCTGGCTCCGGGCATTCAAAATATGATACAGGAATGGCGTTCTGGGCTCACGAAGAACACGAAGTGGCCTACAGTTGGCTCCTGCCATTCAAAATGTGGCCTGGGAGTTGTGTTCTGGGAACACGAAGAACACGAAGTGGCCTACAGTTGGCTCCGGGCATTCAAAATGTGGCCTGAGAGCGGTGTTCTGGGAACACGAAGAACACGAAGTGGCCCACAGTTGGCTCCGGGCAATCAAAATATAATACAGGAATGGTGTTTTGGGAACACGAAGAACACGAAGTGGCCTACGGTTGGCTCCGGGCATTCAAAATGTGGCCTGGGAGTGGTGTTCTGGGAATGGATTCCTAAGGATCCCGAAAAATTCCGAAGGATTCCTAAGGATTCCTGGGGCTGGCGGATCTGTCCGGTTCCTTGTCCGGCTTCCGCCCAGACCCCCCTGGGGCGTCAAGATGCTCTCTTTTGACACCACTAGAAACCTATCAGCGAAATTTGCTCGGTAAAAAACGGGGAAATGTCATGGCCCCCGCCATGATATCCGCCCCCCGTAAACATCACCCCCCTCTTGGCCGCCCCCGATGGTTGGGCCCTTCGCCAAGATACTTTCCCACTGGGCGTATTCGCCCGGTGTGAAGACGAGGAGGAGGAGGAAGAGGACGAGCAGAAGGAGGAGGAGGAGGAGGAGGAGGAAGAGGAGGAGGAGAAGGAGGACGAGCAGGAAGAGGAGGAAAAGGGAGAGGAGGAATCACCCCCCTCTTGGCCGCCCCCGAACCCCGGGGAAGACAGCGGGAGAGCTGCACCCTTCGAGGCCGGGCGGCACCGAAGGCCCCGAGATAACTACGCGGGTTTTTCGCGCACTAGGCGCGAAATGCAGAGCGCGCGAAGGAGCGCGCGCTGCCCCGAAAGAGCCCCGCGGGGGCAGGCGGAGGAAAAAGGGCGAGGAGCACGAGGGAGGAGGAAGGAGGAGGAGGAGGAGAAAGACGAGGAGGAGGAGGGGGAACGAGGGGGAGGGAGGAGGAGGAGGCGAAGGCGGAGGAGGAGGAATAGGAACAGAAAAGAGATGGCAGAGACCGCGAACCGCGAAGCACGCGAACTTCGACTGTGCATGTAGGCTAACTACCAAAGTGTCGACTGTGCATGTAGGTTAACGACCAAAGAATCGAACTTACTGAAGTGTCCGCACGTAGAGGGAGGTCAGGAAAAGAGGGTCGCGATCCCTATTCCCACGCGCCGCGGGCAGGCGGCGCTGCGCCTGTTTCCAGCGCCTGGGCCGAGGCGGCAGCAGGATTGATGGATAGAGAAGTGATATGAGCCCCACGCGGGCCACGGGCCCACGGGAGGCAAGGGCGGGGTTCGGGGTCAGAGGTGCGAGTCCACTCGGCACATCGAGGGGTCTCCACGGGCGGCAAGGTTGGGAGAACAGGGTATACAAGAAGTGGAAGACGATGCCGCGTCAAAGATGCAGGCGCGGGCGTTTCCACCGGCGCGCGATATGTCGCGCGCGAAGAACTCAACTCGTGCGGGCGCATAGCAACCCAAAACACCGCATTCAAAAATATGGCGATCAAAGTTGCGACAACAACTGATCGCGATAAACGAAGAATCATTCACGGGGTACTCCAGGCCCAAAATCAAGTTGGCATGTCGATCAAAGTTGCTACGACAACTGATCAGGAAGGTAGTATGTGACCAAGGCTGCTGCGACAGCTGATCAAGAAAATCCGTTAAAACGTCATGCGCGAGGCACCCCAGGGCCCAATGATATGCGATGTATATCTAAAATGGCGTAAACGGGGTAACGTTACCACATGAAGAATCATAGGATCAATACGTTGCATATGTCGTGCTCTGTGCTTCCGACATCCCATGAAAAGGACATGAAAAAAATATTACGTTGCACGATTTGCGACGGGCGACCTGCCTGGGTGCGCCCATGCCCTTGACGTCGCCAAACATGGATGTGCGAGGGGCGGGCGACCTGCCAGGGCGCGCGCGTGCTTATAGTGCCAAAGGGTACTAAGCGGCACGCTGCCATGCGAAATTCAAAACAAATATGGCAAGCACGCCAAGAGATCCGCAACGATATCCCATCAACCATAACCAATTAACGAAAACTGGTGATCTCATAATACGAATCATCCCAAATACGATTGCTACGATTGTCAAGTTGCCCGCTAGTGCGAGTAGCCGTATTACCCACCCAAATATATTCGCAATCACGTTCATCGATCTAGGTCCAGTTGTTCAGATAGTACGACCGGTAGCGGTAGGGCTCGTCGCGGTAGCGCTCGAGCTCGCAGCGCCACCGCGCCTCTGGGGGCGCCCTGCGGGCGCCGCTCCGAGTACGCTTGCCGGTCATGCACTGCGAGCCTCGCGGCAGGCGCGGCGGCGCAATCTGCCTCCGCGCCCCCGCCGCGATCGGCGCGGCAGCTGTTGCAGCCCCGCCGCCCCAGTCTGCGCCGCCAGGAGCACGGCCGCCAGAAGACGCAGCGCCCGAGGAGGAGACAGCGCCCATGGCAGGCCCATCGCGGCGCGGCGGCGGAGGAGAGGGCGACGGAGCAGATCGGGGGTTGGCGACCGGGACAACCCCCTTGCCGAAGGCTTGACCCCCCGCAGTGGTCGCAGCAGTGCGAAGCCTATCTCTGCGCTGCGCCGAGGGCACACGGTCCTGGCCCGTTTCGCCGATCTGGAGAGCGTTCGAACGCATCTTGCAGATGTGCTCATCGAATTTGGCAAGGATGTCGGCGCAAGCTATTGTGTCCGTCTGAACTTCGGGCGCCCCTGCCTGGGCCGGCGTCTCAATCCGCTCGCGGGCGCCCCCACCAGCGCTCAACTCGCGACCGAGATCGAGGAGGGCCTGAGCAAGGATCGCGCGAGCGCCATCGGTGGCCAAATCGGCGGAAGGAGATTCGCATCTGGCGAGATCGCCCATAATAATTGTTCCGCGAGATCGGGGCGCTGAAGCGGCGCCAGGATGCTCGGCCATGATCCGCTGTCTGACCCACGAAGGCCGCCCCAGTCGCAGCCCTCTCGGCGCCCTGCAGGATGCCATCGCTATCAGCGCGGAGAACTTGGGCGATATGTTCCTGAGTGGGAGCGGCCGCGGAAGCGAAGCTCCCTGGGTCGGGCTTGGGCCCTGGAGACTCAAGGGATCCCTCGGCGTCGATCTCTGCAGATGGGCGCGGGAGATGATCGGCGTCAGCCGTGGAGATAGATGCACAAAGTTGCTGCGCATGCGCGGGACTGTCGCCTGGCCGATCCTGCCACAACGGGACCGCTGGCTGAGGAAATCCCTGAAGTGACACATCGGCCGCAATTGAGTCGCCCCACGACTGTCGCAACGCACAGAGTCTCGGATGATTGGAGCCTTGCGCGAGAGATCTTCAACAACACGCGCACGCAAGCGGATGGAGGGACCGAGAGAGGAAGAACGAGGGCAAGCAACAGCAGTAACAGGCCTGGGACTATCCGCGGTCTCCGTCGTCTTCTCGGCATTCGGGGCAGTGGCGGGGAATGCGAGCGATAACTCAAATAATTCTTGCCGGCAATGAGCCTTCTCAGGCTCAATATGTCTAGTTATAACGTCAGCAACCTGTTGTTTTGTGCCAGCGTTGTTGAACTGTGTTTG